GGCAATAGTTATATTTAAACTTCATCTTATTTCCTATTTTTAGTTTCCTTAAGTGTTTACTTAATATATTTAAATGTCAGTAATCATTTTGATTGTGTAATTCATGTACATTGTACAACATTGAAGATGTCAAGGAATATAATATAGTATAAAGTCTTATCCATTTTTCTGTCTACAGCTGGAAAATATTTCATGTATTTTTTCAGAGATTCTAATGTAAGTGTGTGTTTCTGAAGTATACTGTATTCTATGCCTCCACTCTGCCTTTTTTCACAGCTCCTTGCAATTGTTTTTTCAAAGATTTATTTATTTACACATATAAAAACTGGAGTACAGGCCAGAATTGTGATGGTGAAAGAATTCACCAGAAACAGAGTGGAGAGCAGAACAAGCAAATGTACTGAAATATATTGCTGAGGGGAGCAGCGGATGGGTCAGGAGATGTCTGCATATAGGTCACCTCCATAGCTGAGCTGCAAATAGCTTCATAGTGCTGTGTTTTAACCCACTGTGCCACATGGAGGGCCCTGCAATTGATTTATATCAGGTCAAAGCATGTGACTTACTCTAGGTGACTAAAAAGGACCTTAGAAAGCACCTAACCTAGCAGATTTGTTTTTCAGTGGAGTAAATACTTAAATTCCAAAGATAATATTAACTAGTTAGGGTTCTATTTTGGTGTGAATTGATTTTCCATTGATGTACTTAATGGTCTTTTTTAAAATCAGGCAGTTTTAGGTTCATAGAAAAGTCAAGCTAGGAAGATAAGAGTTTTCTCTACTCCCACACATGCACAGCCTCTCCCCTACTTTTCTATACCCCATTTGTTAGTTGATGAGTATTCATCGACATACCATTAGCAACCAAAGTCTGTATTTCCCTGTACCTATCACATTTTCATTTTCTTGATAGTTGGTTTTTAATATTTTTTAAATTTCAAATCTTGGTTTATCTTCAGGTTTATGATACCTACATTTGTTACATTTCAGATGTTGTTTAAATTTAGTTGGAATCTAGAAATACTATTTTACTTGCGTTGGTGTCATATTGAATCTTAATATCATCCTCACCATTTTTGTCAGATACCTCTGCGACGTAAGGTAGAGTTTGACCATTCTCATAGTTTTTTTTATTTTGCATGCATCCTTTGGTGGTTTGAGATATACTAATTTTTTACTTTCTGTCAGATGAGTGTGCATCTCATATATTTGAGTGTGGACTCTTTTCTCACCTAACTCCTTGAAGTGTTGCTTTATAAAGCTGAACACCAGAGACTTTGCTTTCTTGAGCAGTTGATAAATATAATTTATTTCCTTTATACTGCAGAAATGCATTACCACAGGGAAGATCATAATTTAAATCTATTGACATGAGACCACTTGATGCACCATTTGGTCTATATAATAAAAAGAAACAATATCTCATATATAGCTGTTAATGTAAATTACATTTTGCATTTTTGTGTGAGCTGTGATTAACAGTTGTTACTGTATATGGTGATAAGGATATGTTTTAGTATTTTTTTCATCTCTACTCTCAAACATACATACTCATCTTAGTACTACAGCTATGTACCAATTTTAGTAGCTAAAAACAGCTGCTTAATTTTTCTAGTGCAATGCAAGGAATTCAAACATTGTGAATTCATGTGTATGTCTTCTATGCATGTATATGTGTATAACTTTCTATTTTATATGTTAGTCCTTTGTAGTCATTTGCTTGAGAATGCGGTTTAATAAACTTGGTACAGATGGAATATGCCAAAGAAAAAAAACTAAAGTCATCTTAACTATTTGGTACATAATGGGTAGTTTAAGAAAATAACTGCTCACGCATCTTTATTTGGGCCTGGACCTTTCTAGGATGGGAATCCTTGCTGCCCCTCAGTGGAACATGGAGAAATGTGAGGGTCTTAATCATCTTAAATGAAAACAAAAGTCTATTTTTTTTCTTTTTCAGTCAATGCAGGGGATTTGTGGCTAACTTAATTTCCAAATCCCTCTTGATGTATCTCATTTATTAAACAGAGATGAGCACTAGAAAACAATTTATTCTGATATTAAACATACACTAGTGGTTAGAGCCAGTTTTTAAAAATTACAGGGAAAGATAGTTCTTCAGTTTTCCTCTTGACTGAATGAATTGAGGGGCTGCTGTCTTTTATAGAGGGAGATCATAATTTTTTACTCTTAAGTCACTAATATCACCAACATTACAACCGTTTAAAAAGGTCTTTTTTTTTTTTTTTCTATTAGGGATGAAGATGATATCAATGATGTGACTTCCATGGCAGGAGTCAATCTCAATGAAGAAAATGCCTGCATCCTAGCAACAAACTCTAAATTGGTTGGCACACTTGTTCAGTCATGTAAAGATGAACCATTTCTTTTCATTGGAGCTCTACAAAAGAAAATTTTAGACATTGGTAAGTGCATATTTAGTATTATTGACTTCATAGTACTGTTGTTCTAGGAAAAATACTATTACAAAAGATAGCTTGGATTGGATTTGTTGGAATTCAAAAGCTTATATAGGCTAGAAATAATGAAGATTTTGTGAGTCTAGAGAACAACATATTTTGAAACTATTAACATAACTTGAATTATATATACCCCATGCAAAGGTTTAAAAAATAGAAGTTAATATTTTTTCACATTTCTTAGTGAGAGAATAGTGGTGTATATACTCCTTTCTTGGTTGGCCTTTAGGCGTGCATATGTACAAATGTATACTAGGTTACAAGTTTGTATTAAGATTCTCTCTAGGCCAAGGAGTAATTATTAGGTCGCTTAGTATATGAAAGGAAATGAAAGAGAGCATGCCAGTTTTATTATAGAGCCAAATAGACTTTTTGTTTTTGTTTAATACCAAATTTGAATACTATGAAAGGCTATAATCTCCCAAATTAACTAGAAAAAGATGCAGATAGGTTACATATGAGTTATCTCATATCTTCATTTTAGATCCTACAACTTATTGGGGGCCACTACTAGTGAATTTTTAGTGATTTTAGGAATCTTTATGTTTGTATTGAAAACCTAATACAACAGTGTGTGCATTTCTGATTTTTTATATACCTATGCTATTTTAAGAACTGCAAGGAGTATACTTATTATATGTGTTAAGTCTACCTCAAAAGAAGCAAATGTTTGATCTTTTATATGCTATGCAAATGAACCTTTTTAAAAAGTCTCAAATTTGAGGGTTTTATCTTTATCATGAAGAAAAATTAGAATTTAAAAATGATCCAAAAGGATAGAAATTTAGAATAGCTGGTTATAAAATATTTGTTTAATTTCCCTCCTTTCTTCTCTTCTTCCTTCTTATTCTTCCATTTTCTTTTTTTCATATGTATTTAGTACTGTATAGAAACTAAGCACTTATAACAACCTCTGAAAGCTAGGAAAATTTACTGGTATTTTAATTCCTTGTAGCTATATAATTATGTATGGCTTTGCTAGAGTAGAAGCAGATATGTAGCTTTATCAATTCTTGCTCTCTCCCCCCGCCCCCCAATTTGTTTCTAGCTTTATTTAAAAGTTTAGCACTGAAAGAACAGTCTGGATCATTTAGAGCAAGGGTCAGCAGTTTTCCACAAAGGGGCACATTTGCCACATAGTAAGCCATACAATCTCTGTTGCACCAACTCAACTATGCTGTTCTGTCACCAAAGAAGCTATCAACAAAATATAAATAAATAGGCAAGGCTATAGTCCCATCAATCTTTATTTATCAAAATAAATAAAGTTTAGGAGGCTTTCCTGATGGTTAAAGCACAGCACTGTAAAGCTATCTGCAGCCACTGCAGCAGGAGTTAAATCCCCAGCCATGGTGGTTGCCACATGGAGCAGTAGAACTATCCTGTCTCACCCACTGCTTCCCTCAATAGATATGCCTGTTCTGCTCCCTACTCTGTCTCTGGTGAATCCTCTCACTGACCTCTCTCCCCCGCCCCGCCACCCCACACCTCTGGCCTGTACTCAGTTCTTATATGCATAAATAAATAACTCTTTTAAAAATAGTTCATTTACACAGCCATATACCAGAGACATTTTGTGGGGGTGGAGTGGGGAATGGGATCAAAAATAAGGGGGTGGGGGAGGGAAGTGCACAGGATTATGGTGATGGCACACGTGTGACTTGGTGATGGGAAACCCGTGGGGATTACAATTGAGATGGAAAAAAAAATGTACAAAATGATGTAAAAATAAACTGTTATAAAATAAAATAAATAGAAAAAAATAGTTCATTTACTAAAATAAAGTTTAATAAAGGCTAGATAATTTGCTAAACTCTGCTTTCAAGGACAATTTTAAGGACAATTATTTATCAGTTCTTAATCATAAAATACAAACTTGTCACTTAACGTGATGGAAAACTGCCAAATATCTTATTTCTGTTTTTACCTAAGCTTAACAAAAATTCCAAAACTACAGAATGAATGAAATTACATATTTCTAGGAATTTTTTCATAGTACAATTCCATCTTTATAGACCAGGTCAGAACCAAGACCATTCTTTTATTAGAAATGATAACTTTATGCAAAGAATTTGTTTGGAAGAAAAATTTCCTGTTGAATTGTGTAAGGCAATTAAACATGATGATATTGTTGCTTTTTTTTTGCTATTTACCTAAATTAAATTATGCAGACACTGTAAAGTCACCTAACAAGTTGCAAGCACCCACTGGATTCATTAATGTATTAAATTGGTTTTGTTAAAAAACAAAATGGTTTTATTTAAAAGTGGAAATATTTTTTATAGTATTTAATTTTATAACTTTGTTATGTCTTATCAGTTCAGTGGAAGATATTAGAAACTAAACCCCTAGAATTGTTTGTAAATCCCTATACTTGTTTATTTCTAATATCTTAAAAATGGGTACTTTCCTTTTATTATAAGATGAATTCTTGTTTTAACAATTTTCCCCACACACTAATTCTATTTAAATGCTTGTTTTCTTTAATTTAAGCATGTTATCCCCTACCTATTCTGTTTTCTGGTAATTGTAATTATTGGGTGGTTTTGAAATTGTGTTATCCCTTCTCTAGAAGGCCCCCAATATTTGTTTATGCTAACAGTACTTTAGGCTTTGTATTGTTCTTTTCCTGCTTAATCTGAAATTGAAAATGAATTCAGTTTTACTACAAAATAACTCATGCTATTTTGAAGGTTTGACTTAGGAGAAGCTGGCTAATTTTATATACATACATATATATACATGCATGCATACATACATATATACATACATAGAAGTATAGGATTTCCTTCTCAGAAGTTTTTTTTAAAACAGATTTATTTATTTATGCACACAAGAACTATGATACAGGCCAGAGGTATTGAGGGGTGGGGGGAAAGGATTCGCCAGAGACAGAGTAAGGAACAGAACAGGTAGAGAGACTGAAATTCACTGTTGAGGGGAGCAGTGGGCAGGAGAGCAAAGGTCTGCTGCACTGTGTGGGTCACCTCTCTGGCTGGGGTGCAGTGGCTACTGATAGCTTCGTAGTGCTTTGATTTAATCCCTTGTGCCACCAGAGAGGGGCCCCTTCTCAGGTGTTTTAACTTATTGCACCCACCATGCTCTAACACCCTAGTCCATTGTGCTGCCCCCTCCCCACCTTTCTATACTCCTCCCCCGCGGATAATTTTTATTTTTCTTCCTATATGGTTTACTCTAACCTTCATTATGAATTGAAATACAATATTTACTACATAGTGATGTCAAAGAATACATAAAAGATTTGTTGGTGTTTAATCAAAGGTTATCATCTTCAAAATGTCTATTTACATACATATGTTAAAAGCAAATACAATGGTACCATTAACATGTCATTTAAATTAAATGTCCTAATTGCTGCTATTATTAGATTTAGGTCTTATTGATACAGGTGGTTTCACTGTTCTGGAGAGTTGCTGTTTAAATACTGATAAGGTTGATTTATAAATGAGCTTCTGTCTTTGGGTATAAGGTCCTGTTTGTTTTACTGAAACTTTCTTCCTAGTCGAAGAAAATAGAAAAGAGGGTTAGTTTATTTATGGAAAGAGATATAGCAAAAGGGATGTCATTACAATAGATAATATGAATTAACAAAGCTTAGAACCCCATTTCAACTTGCAAATTGATTACAAGGTTAATTTATCAGAACATGAGTTAATGCAAAATAAGAATGAGCGGTAGTAGACAAAAGAACATAGGCATGTCTTGTAGGGATTAGCAGAAACTCACAATCTAAATTCATTGAAATAAATGTCATAAATTGTTAACAGTGTCAAACAGGGCAAATTGTAATTTTCTATTTTTTTTTTCATTACTAAAATGAACAGAATACAGCACTAATTTCTGCAGTTACCATTTTTCTCCCTGAATACTAGACTTGATTTGTGTTCTTATTAACTTTGTCCTATAAATGACCTTGCAAGGAGAATGATTCTAGAGGCTAAGTGAAACAATGTCTATATTTTCTGAGGCTTCAGGCTAGGTTTTATTAATATAATGTCTAAGATCTTTGAAGTTGTGACTTTACCAGGAAAATCATAATCTCCAAACCTTTATTCATAATGGGTATGACTTCCAGGGGGAACAGAATACCTGCTGTGCTAATTATTTCAATTATCAGCAACTACTAAAACATGTAATGGATTTTCTCTGCTTTCCACAGGTAAAAAGCATGACATTACGGAACTTAACTCTGATGCTGTGAACTTGATCTCTCATGCAACACAGGAGCGATTACGAGGCCTTCTAGAAAAACTGACTACAGTAGCTCAGCATCGAATGACAACTTATAAGGTAAAGGAAATCATTAAGCAATTACAAACTCTGGTCTCTCCTCTTTGTCACATTAAAGGTAGTCTTTTGATGCAAATTCATATGTTCATTATTTTCTTAAAGAAAGCTGTGGCTACTTGTATTTCATATTGCTTTGTCTAGATATGCTTATGACAAATAAAATTCAAATAGTTTAAAATGGCATCCAAAGTTTCTATATCAATGTATTTTGAAATATACATCTATTCAGTCTGAGACTTAAAGTCTTTGGTTGGTATTGAAAGGATTTGTTAGAATGGAATATTGGCTAGTTCTGTTTTCTTCAATAATCTGTCCTCTAACATTCCTGTTCCTTTTAATAGGTACAGTGATTGTGTTGATTGCTGATACAGATGCCATACATTACTACACTGACTGCTTTTACTAAAATTAGATTTAAAAAAATAGCTTCTTTTGTCCCTGGTGTGTAGAAATCGCTTGTTATCATTGAGAGGAAAGCATTTGATTTAAGTTACTAGAATTATGGTTTTGGAGAAGTATATTTATTGTTAGGGTGATTAGGGGTGAAAAAGATAAAATTTTCCCTCTACATCAAAAAAATCTTTGATAGCTAGGTTTTATACAAATGGTTTGTGGGTAATATGAAAGAGTGAGTAAGTTTGCAAGAAAAATACTTGTTATGATAACCCAACCATGCACCAAATGAATCAGGGAAATACCAGCTTTCATATCACTCTTAAGTTCCCTGGAGGAATCTCCCTATTTCTCTCCTTTTAGAACTTTGGAAGAACTATTTTTAGTTGGTGAGGTTCTCTGTTGCATAAATCTTTGTAAGAACTTGCTGGACAGAAAAATACTAGATCAACAAGAGAAAAAGCTATAGATAAATAAAACAAATAATATTGGTGTTTCTTTTTGTGTGTTTCTAGAATTTGTCCGCTTCTGGGTTATCTTATTTCTTGGCATGCTATTATTCTATTATCCTCTTACAGTTTTTAAATTTCTATATGGTCACTAATAATGATACTACTATAATTTCACATTTTAGTTCCTTCAAGTATTAAGTTATTGAGCGCTAATCTTTTTCATGTAGGCATTTATTGCTATAAATTTCCCTCTGAGCACTGCTTGCACTGTATTCTACAACTTTTGGTATGTTGTGGGATTTTTTTCGTTCATAATTTCCTTAATTGACTAGGTGTAGATTTTCCAGTTTTCTTCCTATTATTCATTTCTAACTGCATTCTATAGAGGAGAAGACATTTTTTATGATGTAGTCATCTTAAACTTATGATAATAATATTTGTCATACTAATAAAATAGAACTTAGTTCTGCTATTTTACTATTTTTCTGAGTAACAGCTTTATTGTTTTGATTCCCTTCATACACTCACACACCCACATGATATACTTTGTGGCTTGCAGTTAACTTCCAAAATTGTAATACTATTGTTTGAATTTATATTATGATACTTACCTTCAATTTTATGACCCAGAGAAAGCAATTCTCTTTCTTTTTTTCCTACTTACAGTTACTTTATAATGTAAGGGGAGGTAAAAGGCCCAGTGGAACATGGTAGAAGATTTTGGGACACTGGTGGTGGCAGGATGTGAATGTATACATTCGTAGACATTTGAACTTATAATCCTTGAGCAGATACAAAGATGTAAACCTACTTTACCTCAATTAACATAATACAGAGTAGGGGAGGGATAAAAATTGTTTTTCAAACCTGGAATCTCCCTTTCAAACTGTTGTTTCAGAGATACATGAGTACATGGATTATAGTGGGTAGTTTCTATACAAAACTTTATAGGTGTGGTTTGATATGAAATAGACTTTTTTGAAATAATGTTAATTATTATTGAGTGCCAGAGTATCCAAACCCAAAAATGGTAAAGGTAAAATATTTCAAACCACTTGTTATTATGTTTATACTTTTATGGTTGGCCTATAATGTATTCTTTATTCTTTTATTTTTTTTAACTTTAAAAGAACCAGAATTCTTTTTTTGTCTTAAACATAAAGTAAAATAAATAGCACTAATATAGTCCTTTTTTTGTAATACAGTGTAATACTCTTTTGATCTAGGTAAATGCCAACAACAAAAATTTAATTTAAAAAGAATCTTGGGCATCTGAATCAGCCATAAGCATGGAATAAAACAGTAATGGATGCTGTGCCCATGATTTCCAAGCCAAGCACTGAATTTTGAACCAAAGGTTTTAAAACATTGTTTCCTACTATATATGCTCCCTCAGTCGCCTTCCTTTAGGTTGGATGTCTAATTTATTGAGATGAGTAGATGCTGGGATATTTTAAGTACTAATTAGGAAGATCACTTTCCCCTGTCTCTCTTTGCAAAAGCATGCATTCACTCATATAAAGAGGCCAGATAGGTGGACATTATCAGATGAAGAAAAGTACAAAATACCTAAATTGGAAAGCAGCATTTTATACCTTAGACTATCAGAACAAATGGAGTAATGTAAATTTTAACATTTTATAGAACAATTAAGATACACCATTATGCTTCTCTGTGTGGCTCTCACTTATAAATTGTTTGCTTAATTACTCTGACTATAATTTCTACCCAACTTCACAGCCTAAGGGAATCCTCAATACAGTTTAGGATTTTATTGTTTGCCATTTTATCTTATGTTTTATTTTGATGCAAGTTGTATTCACTTGTCATGGATAGACCATACCAACAACATTAACAACAATACACACACACACACACACACACACGCGCGCAGAAATTCAGGGTGGGGAGATGATGTACTAGAGACAGAATGGGTAGCAGAACAGGTGGATTGACTGAAATAAAATGCTGAGGAGAGCAGCAGGAGAAAAAGGAGCATTTGTTTCACAATGTGGGTTAGCTCCCTGCCCCCAGATTGAACTCATGCTGCAGTGGCTACACTTCATAGTGTTGAGACTTAACCTCTTACACCACCAAGGAAGGCCCTTTTTTGGTTTACTTTTCAGTGAGATATTTGTTTTTTGTCTTTCAAAGGCTTAAGACTGAATTAAATTTTATTAAGGTATTTTGATAATAACTAAAAAGATTTGGGATATAGGTAAAAGACATACTCTTACTTTCTACTTCCTATTCTTAGAATCTGCTTGACTTAATTCCTTTTTTTTTTTTTTCACTCTCTTGAGTGAGACTTACTAGGAAAGCTCTTTGAAATGTAAATGCTTAATCTCGTGCAGATTTTAAGAATAATTAAAGTACTTTTTGTTAAGTCTGTTTAACAAAAATAAAAAATATTATCTTATAAAAATATAATTCCCTACGTATGTTGGTGTTATTGTCTCTATCAGATTTATAACAATACCTAATATAGGATGTGTTGCCTAAGATTATCATAAGACTTTTTTCCCTAGGCAAGTGAAAATTACATACTGTCTAGTGATACCAAGTCACAACTCAAATTTCTTGAAAAGCTGGATCAGTTGGAGAAACAGAGAAAGGATTTAGAAGAACGAGAAATGTTACTGAAGGCAGCCAAGGTAAGGTCCTGTGTGATTTACAGATGAACATGGCCTGGCAAGGACAAAATTAGCTTTATCATTAGTTACTGTCATGGGTATTTTAGGCTTTTGTATTTTTTCTGAAGGATTTCTTAAAAAGAAATCATGAATAAAATCCCTCACACCTAGAATTATGTGGCTATTAGTAGCTTTTAGTTTTATTAATTTAATGAGACATAATCTTTTGTCGTCTTATTCTCAATTTCTCTTCGCCTTGCGGCATAACTGCCACCACCAACACACTACCTCTGTTCAGACACAAGTAAAAATGTTTCATAAAATTTTCAAGGTCTTTTTGGATTTGATTTGATATGTGCCAAATTGAAGTTGAAAGGGGAAAACTAGAAAGTGCAATATAGATTGAAAGGTTATGAGTAATGTTAGGAGTAATTAAGATTATATGCAACAAAATATAGGATGGGAAGTAGAGAGTGTAAAAGAGAACAGGTGAATCTATTATTTATGTCCTTTCTTCCTTACTTAAATGTTTACCCGGACTGTTAGTACCAGGTAGAGTGAAAGCTAACTCCACTACATTTTGTAACTCCATTGTTGCTTTGTGGGCCTAGTTTTAAAGGTTGGATACTAGTCTTAATTATTTTTTAAGCACCTTAGTTTTCATTTCTAATGTTCTTAGACATTAGAACAGTCTCCGCTTTAGATTATTTGTTCCTAATTACTTACCAATTATCTTTTTTTTTTTAAAGATTTATTTATTCATTCATACAGAACTGGGGTACAGGCCAGAGATGCGGAGGGTGAGAGGATCCAAGGACAGAGTGGGGAGCAGAACAGGCCGACTGTGGAAGTACACTGCTGAGGGGAGCAGCGGGCGGGTCAGAAGAGGTCTGCCGCACCATGTGCATCTCCTCCAGGGCAGGCAGGGATCGAACTCATGCTGAAGTGGCTTAAGCTTCTCAATGCTGCGTTTTAACCCGCTGCACCACCAGGGAGGGCTCACTTACCAATTATCTTTTAAAAAACTGGTTTATTTTGAAATTATTGCATACTTACTGAAAAACCACACAAAAATCTCTTATATACTTTTTCCGGTTTCCCCCATTTTTAACATTTTACTGAATTTGGTCCATTACTACTTTCTCTATATATGCATGCCTGCATGAACACATTTTCATTATTCTTGTTTCTTTAATTCTTTTCTCCTTTCTGTCAATTCAGAGGGGTTTTTTTGTATATTCACAAACTTCGCAATATATCATTTGTTTATTTTTAACTGGGTACATTGTACTTTATCGATGGTACAGGACAAGGTGCTCTTTAAGCCCCTTTCCTTCTCCAGTTAGTTTTCATTGGAAAAATCCTGAGGAAATACCAGTATTTATTCCTCATCATCTCCACACATCAATTTCAGTATCCATTGATGATGTCTGCTTTGAATCAGCCATCTCTGAAGACTGTCAAGTAGTAATTTTCATTAAGATTGATGAAGTAGGCCCTCCCTGGTTGCGCAGTTGGTTAAAGCACAGTACTAAGAAGCTAAAGCCACTTTCGCATGAGTTCAATCCCCGCCTGCCCCGGAGGTGACCACATGGCGTGGCAGACCTCTCCTGACCCGCCCGCTGCTTCCCTCAGCAGTGTACTTTGTCGATCTGCCTGTTCTGCTCCCCGCTGTGTCTCTGGTGAATCTTCTCATCGCCCCCTCATCTCTGGCCTGTACCCCAGTGTATATGCATAAATAAATAAATCTTTAAAAAAAAAAAAAAGACTGATGAAGTACACTGCTGAGGGGAACATCGAAGGGGTCAGGAGAGATCTGCCATGCCATGTGGATCACTTCCAGGGCCGGGGATTGAACTCACACTGAAGCGGCTGCAACCAGCTTGCAGTGCTGTGTTCTAACACATTGCACCAATAGGGAGGGCCCCCATTACTAGATTTTTATGCTTATGTTTCTTTTGAGTAGGAAGATCCAGTTAACATATCTATCCTTTACTCATATTTCTATCATTCGCTGAATATCTATTTACTTTTGACACAAAAGAGTCCAGGCCCAGATTTTATTCTTCCTTCCCCAGCCCTGGAATCAGCCTTTTCTTCAAGGAAATCTCTTCTAGTTGAGAATATCCAGAAACTAAGATTAGAGCATACAGTATGCTCATTTTAGTCAAGGGCCAATATGTAGGCCCTTTTAATGGACAGAGCTAGAAAATACATTTATAGTGTGTGTGTATGTATACATATGTGCATGTGTACACACATACATCTGTAACTATTTATCTCTATGTATATTATAAAAACATCAGTTTATATGGATGCATCTAATTCTGATCAATGTCTTAGAATATTTTCTAGCCATAATCTTCCCATTTTTATAAATACATTCTCCATAATTGAAACTTGGCTCTCACTAACCTCAGTATATTTACATTTTTCCCTCAGTTTATGTATTTGATTTTTGTAACTGATCTCCTGGCCTTGTCAGCCCTCTTCTGTCTGCTGCTACTTTTTCCCTGTCCTCATTTCATCGTCCTTATAATTGGCCTCCTTGTTCACTGACTTATTCTTTGTTGAGTCTGCCCAATCATGCGTTCATGGCCATTAGTCTACATCTTCATGTGCCCTAACCCCCCCCAGAAGAATGTGGGGACACCACAACCTTACCAACTTTACACTGTCCCACATTTTAGCCCCTATGCTGACACTGCCTTCATTGGGAAAGGCAGATAGGATAGGAAGATGGTCTTACCTTGAGCCCTTAAGTATTGCAAGCAAGCATGCTTCCACTGTAATGGTGTGACTTATTGGTATTTTACCTCCACTTATCATGCTGTAAATAAAGTCATAAACTATTAAATAGTTATTATTAGGTACAAATACGTGTTCTTCCTCTTTCTTGACTTTTCCTACTTTGCTAGACTTCTAAATATTGGGGTGTCCCAAGTGTTAATATTAGGCTTTCTTTTCTGTCTATATTCCCTCTTAAATTTATATTTCCAATTCAGTCTTCATTTGGAACTCTGGACTCAGCTAACTGCCTACCTAAAATCACTCAGTTCAGTAGGCACCTTAAATTTAATGTATCCTAAAGAACTTCTGATTTTTTCTCCTCTCTCAAAATTACATACTTTTTATGTTTTCCTAACTCAGTGACACCATTACTCACCTAAGTGATCAAACTAAAAAACTTGGGAATCATTTTTAACACTTTTACTCTCTTCTTTACCCACATTTAGTTCAAATTCTATTTTATTTCCAAAATGTTCTCATTTTCTTATGATGTTATTTTTACTACTTTTGTCTTTCACTTTTTATAATGCCTTTGACTGATTAATCTCCTTTTCCTTCTACAGCCATATCTCAAATCTATTGTCAGAATAATGTTTTCTTCACAAATTATGATGTCTCTGTTGCTTAAAAGCCTTCAGTGGCTTCCCCTTGCACTTAAAACGTCTTACTAAAATTTAAAAGGGCACCTATTCTCTGCTCCAGTCACACTGACCTTTCTTTGTGCTTAACTTTTGTCCCTCCTCATAATGTCAGATGATTAGACATCTAAAACTAAACATTGAGTTTGCTTCCCCTAAATCTGCTCCAACTTTTGCACCCTCCTAGTTACTTCATCCAGAATTCTAGGAGTCATTCTTGATTTCTTTCGTTATATCCTCTGTCTCAAACATCAATAAATACGACTCTACCTACGAATTGTATTTCAAATCTAATTATGTATCATCCTCTAATTTGCTATGATCCTGCTCCCTGCTGCCTTCATGTCTTTCCTAGTCTTCTGTTTGCCACAGTTATTTTAGAAAAGTCTCACAATTGCTCTGTGTGCCTGTTCGCTATGTGCCTGTGCCTCCAGTCTTAGATCCCTATAAGTACATCTTTTACATAATAGCCAGAATGATCTTTCCAAGGTGTCATATCAGTTGTATCTCATTCCTGTGCTTCAGCCCCTCTAGTGGTTTATTATCATATAGCTAAATTAAATCCCAACACCTTGTGTTGGCCAGTAAGGCAGCACATAGTATCCAACCTTATTTCCAACTTTTCCTTTGTATTACAGCTACATGGGTTTTCTTTCCTTAAGTATGCCAAGTTTGTTCCCATTTTAAGGTTTTGGCAATTCCTGTGTCTTGTGTTTGAATTGTTCTTCTCCCAGATCTTAGCATGGCTACCACCTTCTTGTCATTTAGATTTTCCTCAAATGTTACTCCTCACAGATGTCTTACTTCTATCCTATGGAAGCACCCCCATCAGTAATTATGTTTTCTCCCCAGCCTGAATGTTTGATATATCACAAGTATGTTTAATTTTTATAAATTTTTTCTTCTCTTCTTAAAATTTAACTAACTTAAAATTAAAAACAGAGACTTTTGTGTAATTTTCTTTATTTAAAACAGTGATAGACTAGACTTTGTACTATACATAGTCAATAGATATTGGTTGACTAAGACTTAATACCCAGATACTCTCATTTTATATTGACACAAAAAATTAGATGCACACACGTAATCTACGTATATGCATATTTTTTTGTAGAATCATTCTTTGCTAATGTTAGAGGTGAAAATAACAAGAATTTTTCTTAGTTTGGGTTGAAGTGAGGTTGTTTTAGTAGATTGGGAACAAAAATGAAGGAAAAATTTAACTAATGCCAGGAGTTTTTATAAGTATTTGAGGAGCTTAAAAATTAGAAAAAAGTCTTAAGTATGAAAATTTTCCTGCATTTTTCTTTAACAGATACTGATAAATTAGTAAAAAGCATCATGTAAACTTAGTAAATAGAAAAATATTTTTAACATTATTAGCTGTCTGTAGTTAAATGATGCTACATCTCATAGAACAGATATTTAAATTTAAAGGGAGTTAAATAACTTATTAGAATAAGAAAAAGGTACCTGTCCCAAGCATACTTTTCACTGGGCAGATGTTCATAGTTATCAGAAATAGAAGTTCCTGCCTTCGTTGCAGCATAGAATTATATGTACAAGGTAGCTCTCTTCTTATACCAATGCTGTAAAATTGTACATCTTTTGGAATATTAAACTGAATCAGTGTGAAAAGTGACGTTCAGTAAACATTTACTAAATACTTGTGTATAGCATTCTATTAAGCTCTATAGGGGGCCAAGGATGTGTAAGATAGATACTTTAAGTGAAAACATTGGAATGTATTTCTGACTCAGTTTTTTAAAATTACCCTTTTGAAGAAAGATTGGTTCAGGGTTAGTTGGGTCTTGATTTTAATGGTTCTTGAAATGCCATGGTTTTTCAAAATGTCTCTACCTGAAGATTGTCATTGTTGTTTCGATAATTTGAGCTAATAATTATCATTTTCTTTTCCATCATCCATACTATTTGTTTTTCAGTTTTTAGTGTTCCAAGAACAACATCATGCCTCAACTGGACCTGACTGACAATGTTAGCATCATTTTCAGTATAAGCTTCCTCCAGGCTAAAACTGCAGCAGCCAGCCCAGATGATGAGCGGGGGAGGGGAGGATATGAGGGAGAGTACACCAGACTGGATTGAGGCATTTTCCCCTGGAGCTAAGGTTTTCAATCACAAGAGAAGATTGTCATTTATTAAATATTTAACGGCAACTATGGTGTTTAGATGCTAGTAATTTCTATTAAAATGTTCTTTCCTTTTGATAGAGCCGCTCCAATAAAGAAGATCCAGAACAGCTGAGATTAAAGCAGAAAGCCAAAGAGGTAGGACTTTCAAGTTACCCTGCTTGTCTTTGTGTTTGAGGGAAGGTTGGCAGCCCTCTCCTGGCAATTAGGTCAGGGTTTATTTTGCTGTTGCATACCATTTGCAGAAGCCTTGGGGAAGGACAGGAACTGCTGAAGGCAAGGGCAGTACTTCAAATGAGGTCAATGAGTTATGTGCTCTCTTTTTAAAATTTATTTTCAAGGGTTAGGCCTGTCTAGAAATGGTTCTTTGTAAACTGCATCAGTGTACTTGGAGGAATATAATATGGGATTAAAAAAAAAAAAAAAGAAAAAACTTTTGAGATTTAGCATCTGGGACTGTACAATAGGCTACATTTTTCCAGGGTAATTGTTCGTTTTGTAAATCTGATACTGCTTATAATTCTTTGGCTGGGAGGCGGTACTGGGATTTAGTTTTAAATGGAAAACGCCTCTGGCTTTTAATTTTCTGGGCCCAGCAGTTTTCTGTTCTGGAATGGAGCCCTTGTTTCACACAGTTCATGTTTAGCTGCAGGGGTTTTAGTTTATAGCTTAGACTGGTTAAGCTTTTACTCCCAGAGGCCTCTGCATAGCAACTGTAGAAATCAACAAATAAGTTCATTTATGTCTGCAGCCTCCTCTCAGTAGCTGACTTTTTACATTTCCCAATATCCATTTCCTGACTTTTCTAGCCCCAGAGAAAAAAAGCTCCACTAATTGGAGCTTATTTTAATTGAGCCTTAATATTGGATCTCACTGGAGTTGCCCCCAGAGCTGCTAAGAACAGAAGGAAATGAAAGTACCTAAGGTTGAAGATGTAATGTGTGTATGGGTGTGTGTGAGTATAAGTGAGTGTGTGAATGAAATTTTTCACTTGACCTACAGATTCTTTCCCTGCTGAATCAATCATCAAGCCTGTTCACATTTCTGATTAAGGATCTGACAGCAGACGATAATAAAGACAATTGAGGTGTGAGACGTGTGATATGGAGCTGAAGAAATTGGTTTCTATAGTTACTTGACTGATTTCATGCAATTTTTAAGAATCTTTGTGCTAAATAAGAGTGATTTCCTGAGCAACCTTTTTCCTTAACTGTGCCTCTTGAACTATAAAATTTGTTGTTGCTTAACATTGCTGCACTCAGTTCCTACGTGCCAGCAACAGCAGGTTATTTATGAATGTTTTAAAGGCCCTTATTGTTTGGATTAATGTAGGAGCTGAGGCAAAACAAATGGAAATCTAGTAAGAGTCTTAACAATCATTGTGGTGTGTTTTCACTAAAATAAAGAGGGTAAATACATAACTCTGAATCGGAGGGGTTTCTAGTTTGGGATAGGATACTTGGAAAGAGAAAACAAAAGGGATTGAAATCAGAAGCATTTTATTTCAATAATAGGAAAAAATGCCTCATGTTCATTTCTTGACAATGGAACATATATCTAAAAATATTATTTAAAAAGTGAATATGAGAAATGTACCTAGTTTGATGGTAGATTACCTGGGGATGGACAAATGTTACTGCTCTATATCATGGGTATTCTTTGTTTTAATTAAAGATTAATTACATGATTATTTTACTTGTATCTAATTGCATCTACTTTCTTAAAAATATGTATCACAGAGCTTCCCCATTTTTCCTTAAGAGTTCTTATCCCGACTGTTCTTTATAAACTGTCATATGTATCTAGATCATAGATTATTTTTCCTTTTAGGTTTGTGTGGGATGCTTTTGTTTCCTTGGGTTTTCTTTTAAAATTGTTTTTAGTTATTTCCTAAGGGATGAATGGAAGGACAGGATTTTTCAAAGAAAATTGTAAGAGTAAATGTGAAGAAAAGAAACGACCTGTTTTTCGGAGAACAGGTGGTAGCAAAGCTGTTTCTTTTTCACTCCCTGTGCCTCCATTTATTTTTTTCCCTAGCAAGAAAAGGACTCGAATTTCCTTCCAAAATATTTTGAAAGTTTTCTATATGTTGCATGTCCTAAGCCCTCTTTGAATAAACAAGAAATATAATTCCCCCCAGCTCCAAAATCATTTATAAATAATGTAAATGTTTGAGAAAAGGTAAAGTATTGCCATTTTTTGGCATTCCTAGCCCCATAGATTTCTAGTAACTTTAATTTTTTTTTTAAGATTTATTTATTTATTCATGGGCCCTCCCTGGTGGCGCAGCGGGTTTTAAAGCACAGCACTAAGAAGCTAAAGCCACTTCACATGAGTTTGATCCCTGCCTGCCACCGGAGGTAACCACCTGGCGTGGTAGACCTCTCCTGACCCACCCGCTGCTCCCCTCAGCGGTATACTTTGTCGATCTGCCTGTTCTGCTCCCCACTCTGTCTCTGGTGAATCCTCTCACCCACTGCACCTCTGGCCTGTAGCCCAATTCTGTAAGCATAAATAAATAAATCTTTTTTTTTCAAAGATTTATTTATTTATTCAGTTCTGTAAGCATAAAATCTTTTTTTTTTTAAAGATTTATTTATTTACTCATACAGAACTGGGGTACAGGCCAGAGGTGCAGAGGGTGAGAGGATTCACGAGAGACAGAGTGGGGAGCGCAGATCAACGAAGTACACTGCTGAGGGGAGCAGCGGGTGGGTCAGGAGAGGTCTGTGACGCCATGTAGATCAGCTCCCTGACCCGCCAGGGATCGAACTCTTGCTGCAGTGGCTTCGGAGAGCTTCATAATGCAATGCTTTAATCCATCACGCCACCAAGGAGAGCGCAATTTTAATGCTTTCAGGGGGTCTAGTTAAATATTGCACACAGGATACCACAATTTATTTCATTGCACAAATCATTAATCCTATCTTAATATAGAATGGAATTTTTTGGAATGGTGATTTATAAGGTCATCATTTGTGATATGCTAATTGTTATCACACTGGTATAAACTACAAAGCTCTGGTTTGTATATTTTTGGTAATTGGTTCTCTGGGAAATTATCTTTATTCACTTGTGAAAATTAGCACCAACTTCTGACAGTTCCTGGACTTAGAATTGCTTTGCTTTGCTTTTCCACATAACTAACAACCTACCAAGCTGGTCGTTGGAAAGTCTAATGATATTGTCATATTAATGTAGAACTCTAATGAACTATTTAGAGAAGTTGTAGGCTTTATTGATGCTTTGAAATGTTTTCACAGTAGTATTTGTCATATAAATATTAAATCACAAGTTGAGTCCCCTTTGTACGTAACTTATAATACCTGTTTCTTTTCACCTGTTAGGGCCTGAAGTTTTGCCCTTAAGTTTTCCTCTCTCTGCTATAGTTTTAGAGGCTATTTATTTCTCTTTTGCATCTTAGGTATAAATTATGTTTAATTGGAAAGGTTTTTTTTATAACCGTGTATCATAATTTTCCATTCTTCTAATTTTATCATTCTTATTTGTGACATTCTCAGTTTTTTCTTTCTTTTTTTTGGTAAGATTTATTTATTTATGCATACAAAACTGGAGTACAGGCCAGAGGTGCACTGGCGGTAAGAGGATTCACCAGGGACAGAGTGGGAAGCAGAACAAGCTGACTGATGAAGTACACTGCTGAGGGGAGCAGCAGGTGGGGTCAGGAGAGGTCTGCTGCACCATATGAATCACCTCTCGGGTAGGGGATCGAACTTATGCTGAAATGGCTTTAGTTTCTTAGTACTGTGCTTTAACCCACTGTGCCACCAAGGAGGGCCCTCATTTTTTTCTTTTTTAAGTTTTCTTTTTGATTTGCCTCCAGCCTAATCTCAACACATTGAAATAGCTCTGGTTCCTTTTCTTATTGACCTGACAGATTGTCTTTGTATTTGAAAATCTTATTTTTGTTTAGTTAAAATATCTGGATATTCCTGTAAATCAAACATAAAAATTTCAATTTTAGGGCTATCTGTTCCCCCTTTTTTGGTTGACAGTGTGGGAAAACATAAACATTCTCACCATGTTTTAACATCATATTTTAAATACTAAGACTTTTAAACTCTGATTTTTTTTCTGGATACTTTCCTAGATACTTTTCCTAAAATGTAAGTACTGACATTCTTCCATTTCATCGTCTAAAATAAAAATAAATTTTTTTCTAAAATAAATTTCTAATTGCCAAATTCTAACTTCAAACAGGTAGGCACATCTTTGTTTAATGCAGCTGCAGACTTGTCTGAAATTTATACTGTGTGTCCTAGATTACCATCTATCCTTCAGTGTTTTCCTTTCTTACCACATCACCTAGAATTCTGCAGAGCAAGCCATCTGAGTTTAGCATACAAACATCCTGATTTCTTAAACATTTGTTGTATATATTGTAACCCTTACTTCCTTCTGAATATGTTCTTTCTACTTTAGAAAATGTGAGTTTGGTTATCTATACAAAGTGAGACAAAGAATTCATTTGTTTAAATAATTCCTTGCATTCTCACTTTAATTTTTTATCAGACATAGAAGGATGAAAAAGGAATGCAAAGCATGTACCTGTTGGCATATTAAATTCTCAGTGCAACCTGTAGAAACTGGGCCAAAGAACAAATATTAAATGATGAAAATGCATAACAGAAAATGTGTACCCTGCAGTAGTTAGGATTTTTGTTTATAGAAGATGTAGGATATAAAAATATAAGTAGCATAATTATTTATAAATCATTCTACAAGAAAAAATACTGAATCATAAGGTTCATATTTAAGTAATACACTGTTTTAGCGCAAAAATTGAAAAAGATGGATTCAGTGAAATGTGATAGTTAAAACTAACTCGTAAATTACAGCAGTTTTATTTAAATTTTGTGGTTGGTCTGCATGAGCCAAAATTCATGGAACAATGGAAAATGAAACTCATCACTAAAAACATAGCTAACAGTCACATAAATGCAGTATGGAGAAGATATTCTGAAAATGACAAGTTATAATCAACTTGTATAATGTAGCAGAGAAACAGATGCAGATATTTCAAAGCATCAATAGTCTTGGACGAGTAATTTTCAAACTTTGTTGTGTATGAGAATTATGTAGGCTTATTAAAAGTACAGATCGCTAGGTTTATCATATACTAGTTCTGGATAAGGGCTGAGGATTTGCTTTTCCATCAAATTTCAGGTAACTCTGCTACTGCTGTTGCTAATTCTGCTGAAGAAAAAAAGGGGGGTTCTTTAAAATCCATCGCTATTATATTCTTATTGACTTACTGGTCTTAGAAGGTTAAACAAATACTGTGATTTGGGACTTGAGAATTGGCATCTTGAACTAGCCTTTATAGTTGAATTACCATTTAACTACCATTCAGTAAGTTCTCTCTTAGCACTAGGAAAGCTATACTAAAGTTTTGTTTTGTTTTGATATTTTCACAAAGGATCTTTATTGGTTATAGCTCTTGATTGGGTATTAAAAGGATGTGCATTTGGTTTAGAGCTTCATCAGAAGGTTAATTTTGCCCTAGTGTTACAGTATAGGATCTTTGTGTCCTGAGAGAGCCAGAAAAGGGCATCTTATAAAAGAAATAGCATTGATCTAGAAGTCAGTAGTTAATCCTGGATTAATCCTGCCATTACCTAGATCAAACTTTGGGGAAGTTACTTTACCACTTTAAACTTACCTCATTTTCCTTGTATTTAAAGTGAATGCAACAATATATGTTGTGCCTATGTAAAACTGCTCTTAATTTACAGTAAGGTGCGATATAAGTGCAGATACCAGTAACTTAAAATCATTACCTGTAGAAACATTTAAGATAGGTACTATCAAGCTCTTAAACTTAAGTTTGAGATTGACAATAGATTTTTGTTGTTGTTATATGTTTGTTCCCTTCCAGAGGACTAGAAAATATATGGGGGCAGAAAAGACACATGGAAGAAAATCTAGGGGCAGAGGGGAGTTCTGTAATCTATTATGAATATAGCACAATATATTTGCACATAATCAAGAATCTTATTTAAAGGAGAAAGTGTCTATTTAGATTCTAGCTTTCTCAGGCATTAATATCATCAGAAATAGCCTTAGTTGTTAGGAAAAAAAAAATCAGAACTATACTTGTTGATTTGGTGAAATACCTTCTTTTTTAAAAGATTTATTTATTTATGCATACAAGAACTAGGGTACAGGCCAGAGGTGCAGGGGTTGAAGGCAAGTGGATTCAGAGACAGAGTGGGGAACAGAATAGGCAGATTGACTGAAATACACTGCTGAGGGGAGCAGAAGAGTTCTGCTGCGCCATGTGGCCTAGAGTCAAATTCATGGTGCAGTGACTGTAGAGAGCTTCATTGTACTGTGCTTTAACCCCCTGAAATACCATCTTAATAATTGTTTTTAAGGACTTGAAAAGGATCCTGTATTTCTCTTATGGTATCCTTGAATTTTGGATTCCTTTTGTTCATGAATCATCTGTTAATTGATTTATAGGTTTAATAGGGTGGGGGTGTGTTTTGTATATTATTTATGATTTCACTTTGCTTACATCAGTAAATTGCATTAATTCAGAAGTTACGATAAACATTGTTGAGAATTTTAGAATTTTAACAATTTTTTCAAAGCATAGCTAAAATTCTATTAAAATTTTTACTATTAAAGGTTAATTAGTCAGTGTTAGGGTTTTATTGTTTTCTATGTGTACCCTTACCTTTATTGTGAAATCTACACAGGATATTATTCTTAACTCTTTTTTAGAATTAATTCTGTATTCAAAGTCTGATAACATATTTCATTCTCTTCTTTAGTTTCTTTTAAACATTCCTATTTAGGCATAAACTGTTATTGTCACTAGTGTGTTTATTGTCTTGCACAAATAAGCCTTGGAAAGACATTAGCCTTTCAACTTTTTCCTTTGTTTTATTTCTTGCCACTTTCCAGAAGTCTATAATAAAACCTAATGATATCACATAATATTTTGGATGATAGCATTTGTATTTTTTCTATATCTTGCCTTAAGCATGAAAAAAAATGTATTTGTGGATTTCCTACACTGTCAATGTAAATTACCGAAGTGTTTTAGTCCTCTTCTTCAATATGTACCCTCATCAGTAGAGAGAAGGTTATATGACTTGGCTTATTCATTCTTCATCTAACTCATCTCATTTGCCTACTCTTTGTATTTGTTTTTATTTTTATCAGTGTCTTTATTCATGAGTTACATGATTAGCATCAAGAAGTACCTCTAATTGAACTTTGCCTTTGAGAGTTTGTATGATCTTTAAGGTAATCTATTAATGTGCTTTGAATCTTAAAGGCAGCACCAATATAATTGAACTTAAAAATGAACATACGTGGGCCCTCCCTGGTGGCACAGCGGGTTAAAGCACTGCACAAAGAAGCTTAAGCCACTTCTGCATGAGTTAGATTCCCGCCTGCCTCCGGAGGAGACCACATGGCATGGCAGACCTCTCCTGACCCACCCGCTGCTCCCCTCAGCAGTGTACTTCGTCGATCTGCCTGTTCTACACCCCACTCTGTCTCTGGTGAATCCTCTCACCCTCCGCATCTCTTGCCTGTACCCCAGTTCTGTATGAATAAATAAATCTTTAAAAAAAAAAAAAGAACATACTACATGAGTACCAAAAACCAAAGGTAAAATAACCTTCAATTTTTGTTGCTTTGTTTCTCTACAGGGCACTGACTTGAATTTTACAGGATCTCACTGATATGGAGAAATTGTGATAAGGGAAGTCAGGGCTTCTGCCTTTAACAGCCATAAAGGAAGGGGCAAGGGTACTCTTTCTTAAAAGAAGTACCCTTAGTCTTAGATACCCTTAGTATCTCTTAGTCTTTTTGAAGCCAAATGCTTTTTTAGTTGGTAGGTTACACACAGCCTAAATTTTATGAGACAAAGGCTTGTTGCAATATAATGTAACAGAAACCTGCTGTCAGAATTCTACTTAAACTTCTCATGAGTTGAGATGGAGTAAAATTATTCCCACTGAATATAAATATAGAACCTGGACAAAAGATATAGAGAAGATTTTTGAGAGCTTCAAATGTAAACAGTAAAATTGGGTAAAGGACAGCAAGAGAATAAGAGAATTCAGAATACCATTGAACCAGTGAAGAGGTTGCCATTCTTCTACCACCCACCACATTCTTCTCAGACACATTCATCCCTAGCCAGGGACACAGTCATATCAAGTGTATGGCAAAAGTGGAATAACCTTTCCAACTAGAACAAAAAGAGGACTGAAAATTACAAGGAAATTTGGAGAAAGGGAAGAACTCAGAATAGCCATCCTTAATCATAAACTCCTAGGTCCACTCTTAACCTATTTATTTGTCACATGTAAATCTGATTCTAGTCAGCATTCCAAAATTAATATCTTGTAGATTTGCACATTCTGGATTAAGTATGATAAAAGCTGTATAACAAAACAATACTAACATAGCTAAGTTATGTTTGAAACTTTCAGGTTTTGCCATTATGGAATACAAGTAGATCAGTGGTTTTTATTTACAGTTGAGAAATTGTGATTGTTGAAAAGTTTGGCAAAGAAAACAGTGTTGAGTTGTCTCTACCTACTTATTACAGTAACCTTTATAAACTTTCCTAACCTTTTACAGGCTCACCATCATTAGTAAAAAGAGAATGAAGTACATATTTCCTGTTATTCTAGTAACTATAATATAGTAACATGTTAGTAATTTATAAATAAAATAGTTATACCCTCTTGGTATGACCCTGAGAGTTAAATGTGTGAATTTTTAATAAAATGCTTTTTAAATTATGTATATAGTTGAACTCTTCCCTTTCATGTACAAGCGTTCTTTTTTTTTTTTTTTAAAGATTTGTTTATGCATACAAGAGCATAATACAGGTCAGAGGTGCAGGGCGTGGGCGTGAGAAGATTCACCAGAGACAGAGTGGGAAGCAAAACCGGTGGATCTATTGAAATACATTGCTGAGGGGAGCAACAGGCAAAACAGGAGAGGGCTGCTGCACCATCCTAGTACGGGATCAAACTGTTGCTGTAGTGGCTGGGAATTGCTTCATAGTGTTGAGATTTAGCCACTTATGCCACCAGGGAAACCCAAAATGTTCTTTAGTTTTACAGTCTTTTCATCTAAAATGGTTGACTCTGGGTTGGCCAGTTTCTCTACAACTTACTGTCAATTTACACTTCAGGCATTTCTTAAGTGTGCTTAAATTAAGAAGAGATTAAGATCCTTTTTCTTTTCTTTCTATTCTGTACTTCTTCCTTACCTCAGTTCTACCCTTTTTATTTAATGATTCAGGACTACAGAAGAGTAAAGAAATCAGGAAATGAAATGTCTTTGTTAATGGTGAAATTTCATATTTATTTTATACTATAACTTGATTTGGTTAAGAAGACTAAAGTAGGTTTGGTGATTAGTTTTTTTCCCCTCAGAGTATCATGGTATGAATGTTGATTTTTTTTTTTTTTTTTTTACTCCATTTTTTAGTTACAGCAGTTGGAGCTTGCTCAGATACAGCACAGAGATGCTAATCTCACAGCTCTTGCAGCTATTGGACCAAGAAAGAAGAGACCACTGGAACCTGGGTCAGGAAGTGAGGTAATAAAATAATGTTTGTTATTTTTCATGTCAAGAAATCATGCCCAAAAAGAAGCAAAGATATGCAGTTTACAAACAGTTTACTTTGCTCACTGTTGCTGCCAGACATTTATTAAAACTCTCCTTTACCTACTTTATAAAATCTTTATTTTTCCCCTGTTTTTGAAATGTGTACTGTGCCTTGAACTTTAGTGCTACTTATTTTATTTTATACTTCTTCCTATCCCTCATCTCCAGTCATAGCATCTTACTGTCTTAGTTTATTGCCATGCATTCTTTCTAGAGGTCTTGTGTATTTCTCGACCTTCTGTGTATGTAAATCTGGCACATTAAGGATAAAATCTGTACTCTCATTTCTTACATGAACTTCAACTATTCATCCCCACACTGACTTATTTTCATGAATTAATTGTTCTCAATTTCTTATATGTATATTTTTTTCTTCTGTGAGGTTTAAGCTTCCTGAGCAAGAATATAATCTTACTCCTTTGTATTCCCCACAGAACCAGGCATGTGTGTGTGTGTGTGTGTGTGTGTGTGTGTGTGTAAATATCAGTAATTATTTGACTGACATCAAGGAAGGATCTTACACTTAATAATTTAATATCATGCAGTTACTTGATAGAATTTTGGATCCATCTTTGGGGTAAGCTAGAGAAGCACATATACGTAAGAGCTCTGAAATAGGATTAGCAATAAAGGAGCCTTGACTCATCTGTACTGCTTTGTAAAATTTAAATGTGCTTTGAGACAAATTCCTCCCCAGCACTGACCCTGAATATCAATACTTTCTAAATGAATACATTACTTGAATAGATGAAGGATTAAAAAATTCTAATGATTTTATTATAAATATAATGAATTCAGTATATTCAGAAGCACTAGAAAAATCACACTGTAAAAATGTTTGAAAAAATGTATGTTTCCTTTTACAAATTTCCAATTCCCAATCCCCTGTTCAACCAGATATAACCTCTGTTAAAATTTTCACACTTTCTTTTAGAAATTTGTTATGATATGGGTTTATATCTCATGTATATTTACAAATCTGCATGTTTAATTTTATTTTTACTTAAATGTGATCAAACTATACCTATTGCTCTACCCTTGATGATATTCCTTTTCATAATCTCCCACATACTTAAGTAACATCCTTATTTCTTCAAACCATGTAACATTATTGTTTAGATAAAGATAATTCAACTAGACTTTTAATGGGTCTTTAGGTTGTTTCCAGGTTTTTGCTTGATTATCTCAAAGAAGACCCTGTACCTACATTGTTGTTTGCTTATTCAGTGTACAAACCAAATTTATTGGCATGGTTTTCTTAGGCTCAAAGGTATGAACAATAGAAAAATTTCTTTGGAAAAATTCAAACTTGTATAAAAATAGAGACTAGTGTAATGACTATCCCCATCACCCTGCTATAATTACTATCAATTTATGCCTAACTCTATTTTGTTTCCGTACATACTACTCAGGCAAGTTTTATACTCTTTAGGTTATTTTAAATTTGATACCTCTTAAACTAATATTTTGTCTGTAAGCACACTCTGTTGCTTTTGATTTTGATTATGTTTAAGATAAAATGTCAGTTTTTGCAAATCCATTGCTGCATGTTTTCCCACATTTTCTCAACACTGGCAGTTATCTTTGCTATCTGATGTTTGAAAGTGAAAATGTGATAGTTTATAGTAAGTATGAGCAATTTTTTCATGTGCGTATTAGCCCTTTCAGTTTACCTTTTCCCACTGAGTTACATTTTTTAATTTACTAAAGAAATGCAGTGCTCCACACCCTCTTCCATTTTCTTTACTTTGGACTTTATTCATCGGAAGTTTTTATTTTTGTGAAAAATAAATAAGCCATTCATTTTTGTCTGTTTTTTGTTTTTATTTCTTGTTTATATTTCCCTAGCAGGGGATGATCTACTGCCCTTTATTTTCAGTTAATTTGTGTATAAATGTATGTAAATATGTTACTAATACTAGAGAATGTTATTTAATCATTAAGCATTCCTATATATATGTCATACTTACCATACTGTTTATTTTATGCTGAGAATTGCTGCTTTTTTTTTGCCCACATAGTTGTTACTTGGAATATTACAACTCCTTTGAGAAATAGCTATAGGGAGGTCGAAATGCCTATTTTACTTTTTTATTGTGGTAGCATTATACAACAAATTCTGCCAAATGTTTGCTTTGTGAGAAAATGCTATATAGCATGTTGGATGAGTAGCTACTTTGGACTGAGCTATATTGGTTTGTTTCTTGACTGTGAAGTTGTGTAATATTTGCCAAGTTCTGTAAACTGCAGGCCTCCATTATCCTCTTTTCAAAAATGGGAATAATACCTGTCTTACACTAACGGATAGGATTATGTAAATTGCTTATTCAACTTGTTTCTATCCTCAAGTTCAGGGTTAATAAATTGTCGTCATCAGTAATATTTCAGCCTTTAATAGTGTTTTTTAAGAAGTATTAATGATCCATGTATCTATCTCTACAGAGCTTTGCTTCTCTGTCCCATTTGATGACACAAATTTTAGTAACATTAAGTATCCCCTGACTTATAATAATTTGAAATATTTTAAGTGTTTTTCATTGATTATATGTTTGTATCTTAAGAGTGTCTACAGGTTGGGGGTTGGAGGAGATGTACTTGTGGTTCAAATCATTTAAAAATGCAGTTATTTCTTAATTTCAAGACAGATGTATTCTAACAGCTATATAAATAGTTTTAATTTTCTGCTTCATGCTTCTTTATTTTGGAGAATTTATGCCAATATGTTTTTCTCTGTCTTTACTGGACTTTTTTAAGTTAAGATAGTTTTACTGACTTATTCAGCAGCCAGTACTTTTAAGAAATGCTAACCTGAAATAAAATATACTTATCTTTAATGAACTGGTGACATTTTAGTATAGTACTTACTTTGAATGCTTGCTTTTGTGGTTGTTGAGTTGTATTCATACTGTTTTAACTTTAAAGGCAACTTGCTTTGAAAAGTGGGAAATGGGAGGAATCTTTTTGTATCCTTTCAGTATTTTAAGTATACTGCTTAATATTTGCCCCTCCAATAACTTAAGTTATATTAGTCAGAACCGTTAAGAAACACACACCCAAACACAAAACCTTAATCAATCACTTATTTTATTACCTCACAAACAATACAAGATGACAATTATATATTAATATTCTTTACTTTGAAACCCAGGCTTTACTTGTTGTATGCTCCTGTTTTTTATATATGGGAATCTGAAATCATACTCTGATTTTAATTGCTAGAATAAGCATGTATCTTTTTTTTGAAAAGACTTTATTTTATATACCTTTGGTATAGGCCAGAGGTGTAGGGTGTGAGAGGATTCACCAGAGACAGAGTAGGGAGCAGAACAGGCTGATCTACAAATACACTGCTGAGGGGAGCAGAGGTCAAGACAAGAGAGGTCTGCTGCACCATGTGGTTCACCTCTCTAGCCAAGGATTGAACTTAAGCCGCAGTGACTGGCAGTAGCTTCCTAGCACTGAGACATTCAGCCCTAAATTAAATATATTGAATTCAGCTAAGCTCAACCAGGGCTGAATTGCACCTTTCTTTTTGGTACTAAGTCAACAATAGTAGTAAATTTGAGGAAATTAGTTTTAGATCTTCATCCTTTAGTATTTTTCTCTGTTACATAGAGAAAGAAAAACTTCCTCTTATTGATAAAAATATTTTTATATAAGAATATTTTATTTTCAAAATTTTATAGATTTGCATTCATTTACAACAACAGTTTGGGAGTACACCTTCACATGTAAATATGTGCATGTTTCACTTGCCCATCAGTAAAAGCTTGAATGTACATACATCATCATCCTACTCCCTCTGTATTACTGCCTCCTTCCTCTCTCTGCCCCCCCTTACTTGCAGGAAACCACCACAGTTTTCACAGAATCTGAGAGTTACTTTTGTGTCTTGCCATTTTGTTTTCTTTGGTTGTTTATATTCCACAACTGAAAGAAACCGTAGTTGTCTTTTACTTTGTCGTTTATTTTCCTTAGCATAATCACTTCAAATCCTTCCTATTGTCCCCAAAGGCACTATTTCATCTTGGTTTAATAACTTAATAGCATTCCATTGAATATATATGCCAGTTTCTATATCTAGTCACCTGTTGATGGGCATTTAGCTTGATGTCTTAGCTATTAGGAATAGTACTGCTACAAATATAGAGGTCAATTATTTTCTTTTTAGTGTTTTCACATTCTTCAGACAAATACCTAGGAGTGGTACTGCTGAGTTATATTTTTGTGTTTTATGAAATCACCATACTGTTTTCTATAGATGCTGGGCCTATTTAGATTCCCACCAACAATGTGTGAGTGTTCTTTTATCTCTACTCCCTAACCACCAGTACATGTTTCCAGTCTATTTGATATAGGTCATTTTGACTGGTGTGAAGTAATAACCTCACAGTGGTTTTAATTTGCATTTCCCTTACAATATGTGATACTGAGCAATTTTTTCATGTGCCTGTGTGCTCACTATATATCTTTTTTGGAAAGTACCTATTTATATCTTTTGCCCATTTTTGACTTTTTTTTTCCTTTGGTTGTAGTTGAATTGTAGGAGTTCTTTATATATTTTAGAAATTATTCCTTGTCAGATGTGTGATGTACAGATATCTTCTTCCAATCTAGTGATGCTTTTCGCTTTTGTGACGATTTATTTCACTCTATAAAAAACTTTTTAGATTGATGTAGTCCAATTTGTTTATCTTTGCTTTTGTTTCCTTTGCTATTGGAGATGAGCCCCAAATACAGCTGAGATGGACATCTAGGAATATATTACCTGTGTATTCTTCTATGTGTTTTATGATTTTAGATCTTAATATGTAATTATTTGATTCATTTTGAATTAGTTTTTATAGATAGAGTGAAATAATTACCTAGTTTCATTTTTTTTTTAAAGATTTATTTATTTATGCATACAGAACTGGGGTACAGGCCAGAGG